ATAGGGAAGAGATTAGTAACCTGCACTCTGTTCCTGTAATAGTTGTCGTAGCATTACTGCCGCTCTGTTTGAATCAGTAAATCCGGCGTCTTTGTAAAAGAAAATGGTTGATGCAATGATCTCTCCTGAGGGGCGATGAATTTGTCATGAATCAGTCTTCGTCTCCGGTTTTCTTCTTGAGCCAGTGCAGGAGTTATAACGCAATTATTTTAAAAACTATTTCACGTTTTTATGAATTGATAATCTTGAACACTCTTGGACTCATGCAGCTCACAAAAACATCAAATGAAAAATATCAATCATTTTAAATCATTTTTACCGTGTGTAGAACATTTTGTACATACGTTTCCATTCGCTTCGATCAGGAAATCCTATGAACACGGGCATATTTCGTGATTTATGGGCGACCTCAGGCAGTTGCAAATTTGGGGGTAGCCATCTCACGTTACACTAGTGTACACTGCCCAGAAAACACTTGTCACTGGTTTCTAAAGTTGACATTCCTTTCATTCATCTATTACCTCACATTCAACCATAGTTGGCAGCCATTTTGATTTTCAAAACTGACAACCAAAAGCCGGCGGAGTACGTTCCTCAGTCATCATTGGATGCTAACAGGGTTGTGCGATACAGTGACGTACAGACATGCCATTAGCTTGCGTTAAGTCTTCAAGTAGTAATTTATTAATTTCAAATAAATGACGAAAATTTTGAAATTCACACCTCAAGATCAAGCTCAAAGAAGTTCTACACATCCGGAGAGAAAACCCTTTCCTCAATCATGAAATCAAACATGTTAATCTAAACTTGTTATTGAAATTAATTCTCACACTTTTCTTTATTGAATGATTTTCCTCTTCTTCCCGCTATTGTACTCATTCTGAGCATTTCCGAGTATTCATATTCTATGCTCTATGCACATATTGTAACACACCGATGAAGGTAGATGTTTCTGCCGAGACATGTCTGTCAATTTTTAAATTGTCGTTATTTATTTGATATGAATTCTTATCTTCCCGCTATCCCGACCTTTCGGTAAGAAGAATGATGGACATCTGGGCACAACGTAGTCTCCTCCGCAGCCGTTTTTTGGGATGTCACGCAACGCTCCCCCGTTGCGTGACATCCCAAAAAACGGCTGCGGAGGAGACTAGGCACAAGGTCCATATCTATGGAAATGTAAATGAGCTCCCTAATGTTTTCATGGATGGTTGCGGTACACCTTTCGTGACTCTAGATATAAACATCACAGCAGAGAAAGAACTCACTTTCCTTAGCTTTACTCATGAAGATTATTTGTGCAGGATATGCAAAAACGGGTTCTAAATCAATCGCCAAAGCCTTGCGGCACCTTGGATTTACAGTGTTCGATTGGGAAGAACAAATCTTTGACTTTGTAGATGACTGGGTTGATGTGTTTCAAAATGGCGCCAAGCCTGATGTTAAGCGACTTTACCAGAACGCTGATGTATGCGTTGATATGCCTGGAACATTTTTCTACGAGGAAATTCTGGAAGCTTTCCCTGACTGTAAAGTGATTCTGAGCGAACGGGATGAAGATTCCTGGGTAAAAAGTCATGTAAATCAACTGGAATCAATAGCTGCGCGTGCGGCACGATATCGATACGTGGTTCCCGTTCGGTACTTGTTATCGCCAACAGCATGTAAAGCTAGGGGCATCGTGGACTCCTACTTTAATGCATTTTTTGGCTCTTGTAACCCCAAGTCCACCTATGTTTTCAGAAAGCGATATCGTATCCACAACCACCGTGTAAAGTCCATTGTTCCCGCTGACAAGTTGCTGGTATACAACGTGAAGCAAGGATGGAAGCCATTGTGTGATTTCCTGGGTTGCGAGGTCCCCACGGTTGCCTTCCCACATGAAAATATCAAAGCTGAAATTACCGCCACCATTGGCATGACTAAATATGGCCAGCAGGTTAAATGGGAAATGCAGAGAGGTCTTTTGGTAATCGGCACAGTTCTTGTAATAATTGTAATGGCAATTCTGGCCATCTGTTTTCATAAGTAAACAAGCCAAGAGCAATAACTGTGGCGTCTTCACTGCTTTGTTTATCTGTGTTGATACATCTTAGTTTCTCTTCACTCAGTGTGTTCCAATACAAAATAATACTCCATTTATGAGAGTCTATTCAACCTCTTTTGTTTTGTAATTTCGTAAAAGGTTTACCCAATACACTTGAAACGTATATACCCGACTAAATCATTGTTTAAACTTTTAGTTATACTGTGTGTCCTTGACACACCGTATACTTTAGGTCACCTTCTTTACCAGAGAATTAAAAAGAATCAGAAAGAAAGAACGCTTTGGTCTGTAGGGATCGAGTTTAGGCACAAAAATCGTGCGTACATACGTAAAACAATTGCACGGATGATTGCGCTAGCTGCGTTAGGGTCAAAAGAGGTCTGTTCAATACAGTCACGAAAATGTACAGAATCAATAAAGTGGTATAACTCTGCATACTCTAAATACTAAATCTTTGATACGTCTGAGTCATAGGTGTTAAATCTTTATGCAGTCATAGAAGTAGGAAGGATTTGATATGATCCATGGTCACCAGTCCTCACCACCGTGTCTTACACGTGATTCCTGTGCTCTCCTTTGAGCACAGGTTTCTGCGTGCTGGCATGCCGTAAGAATGCAGCG